GTAGTTGTCGTGTATACTTCGCTTTTTAATAAACGCGCTCTGGGCATTGGAGACCAAGTTGTCCATGTGGGGACCCAGTCGAAGTGCCAGCATCTTGGCTATAATTTTGGCAATGTCATGGATGAGGCTAATGGGCCTGTAATCAGCAACTCCTTCCGCGCCATCCTTCTTCGGCAGAAGCACAATGTTTGCTGAGTTTAGCCAGTGCAAGTTGGAAGTCCGCAGAGTCCCAAAAGAGTGTATGACCCGCATGATATCTTCTTTTACTATATTCCAACAGCTCTTGAAGAACAGCCCGGTGAACCCATCGGGACCGGGGGCCTTATCTTTGGGCATTTGGCACATGGCCGCAAACACCTCCTCCTCCGAGAAAGGGTTCCCAAGCTCGTGCAAGTCCACTTCGGGAAAGTTGAAGTTATCCCAGTTGAAGTCCTTCTCTTGCCTGCCATCCCTGCCCAAAGCACTAGAGAAGTGCTCAAAAATGATCTCCTCTTTCTGAAAATGCCCAGTGATCCAGCCATTGTTGTGCTTGAGACGGTGGATGTGATTTTTCCTTCTCTTCACCCTCAGGTGGAAAAACTTAGTATTGGCGTCCCCTTCTTTTAAATTCCTTATTCTGGAGCACTGCTTTTTCCTTGAGCGCTCGATCACTGCGAGACCGATAACTCTCCTCTTGAGCCTAGCCCGAAGCTCAATCTCTCCGGCCGACAATTCTCTTGTCTCCTGGGCCACATCTAGTCTGAGGATGACCATGAGTGCTGCGCGAAAGTGGATCTTAGCTTGGGAGAAAAGTGTCCTGCTCCATTTGGACAAGCAAGCCCCAGTCCTCTTAAGCTTGTGGAAAAGGTTCTGGCATGGCTCGAAGTGCCCGGAATGATGATGCCAAGCCTCTTTCACCACATCTTGGAAACCTGGGATGGACGTCCAGAAATTTTCAAATTTGAACGTGCGCGGCCGCCGAGGCCCACTGTCCTCCGCAAGGAGAAGTGGGCAGTGGTCTGAGAGAGATGATGACAAGGCGTGTAGGATATGAGAGCCAAAGTGAATGTCCCATTCGTCATTGCAGAAAATGGAGTCCAGCTTGCATAGGGTCGGATTTTGTCGTTCATTGCTCCAAGTGAAGCGCCTGTTCTGGAGATGGATCTCCCTAAGCTCGCAGAGGTTTAGGGCTGCCCGGAAGCGGTTTATGCGGCTCAGGTTTACATTGCGCTTGTTTTTATCTCGAGCCTTGTAAATTTGGTTGAAATCACCCATCACTACCCATTTGACACCAGCAGTCGGCTTGTGTGTGAGAAGCTCGGCAAAAAAATCGTCCTTTCTCGAAGAGGTCGTAGGGCCGTAAACCGTTGTGAGCTTGAAGGTGGTACCGCAGGCCTGAATATGGACATCCGCAGAGAGGCAAAATTCTGAGATAGAAACGTTGGACAGCCCAACAATGGTCTCATCCCAAAGAACCAGGATGCCCCCACGCGTGCCCATCACCGGGCGCTGAGCAAAACTCCTGAGCCGGTGACCACCCAGGAAGGATGCAACGAATTGATCAACGTCGTCTAATTTGGTCTCCTGGAGGCACACGATATGGCATGAAGTGGACACAATCGTTTCGTGGACAGTCGCGCGGCGGTCAGGACAGTTCAGACCTCGAACATTCCAGCAGAGAAAATTGACTGGTTGCGTTAACATGATGAAACTAGAGGGATTCCCAGCTTGGACCAACCTTCATACCAAGTGATGAACTTGACATAAGCTTCACGGCTGCAAGCAGCAAGAGTACACATGGACTCAAAGTCTACAGAACACACAGCCCTCATGGCCATTACATAACAGCAACTGGAGAAGCAGAAACTACGATACACGTCCCTCACAGAGGAGACCCAGCAACTAAATTGTGTTAACATTGGAAACGAGTTGGACACGAAAGGCACGCTAGCTGCATGTCTATGCATCAGCCACCAGAGACTCCTCATCATGGTCGAGAGCATCAGGGCCTCCATGGGCAATCAGGGCCTCCTCCACCGCCGTGGCCGCGGCATCATCCAGCTTGAAAATCTCACGCATAGCTTTGATCATCTCATCAGTGAGCTGCTCCTTGAACCTGCATTGGAATTCAGCAATTGCCGCCTCGGTGACTCCTTCTCCGGTCTTCACAATTCCCATCCCTTGGAAGACCAACTTCTGGGCAGCAGCCTCCACAGGCGGCACGCGCACGCGCCCAGCAGCCCTCAACCTCGCGCTTGAGCGACACAAGGTGAAGCCAATTGAAACACCAGCCAGCGTTTTGCGCCTGTTCGCCAGCCTTCTACGATCCGAAGGGGCAGGGGTGCCCAGCAGCCCCCTCGTGCTCTGCTGAAACAGGTGCCTCAGGCCATCGGCTGCCTCATCTTCAGTTGCTTCCTGAACTGCAGCATCTGGCGTTGGAGCAGGAGAGATGGCAGCTTGCAGCTGGGAGCCCCCCGAGCCAGCGGGGGACACCGCTTCTGGACTCAACAGCGGGCGAACAAGGGCCGCCGGTGAGCAGATGCGAAGAGCCGCCTGAGCCGCACCACTAATCGGCCCCACCTTGGTCGCAAGGACACCCTCAGAGCCCTGCGTCGCCGGCAGCACCGAAACAGGGGACCCAGGAGGAGTCCGGAAGTCCCTGGAGCGCCTCCTGGCAGAGCTCGGAGAAGGGTGGCGGTGAGGGCTCCGGCCCCTAGCAGTTGGTGAAGCAGCCTCCAACACCACCTCAGCCACCGGCCGCTGGATGCGACGCCAGACCAGGGCGCCGGCCATGTCGCGGCGCAGAACAGCATCAGGAGTGCGGACCGCAGCACTGGCCACACCCTCCTGGGGAGCCAGCAGATCAGCAGCATGGGCGCCCTCTCCAACCCTCCTACGGTCATGGCGCTCGTCTCCTCCGCGCCCATCTCTGCCACGGCGCTCATCTGGGGCACGCGAGCGGCTGCGGAAGAAACGATCGCCCCAGGAAGCCTGGCGCCCCGAGTCCCGGCCTCGGCGCCCCTCATCATTGCCCCTGTCACGACGCCTCCTCTCGTCGTCATCATCGCGGCGACGGCGATCGATGTCATCATTGCGACGCATGTCAGAAGGCTGGCCCTTGTCGCGGACCGTGGCCTCGCCATCAACAACCCCAAGGCGAATGTCGAACTTGTGCTGGTAGCGCGGTGACGACGAGTCGCTGGTGAAGTCTTCATGCAGATCGAGGTGTACAAGCACCCTGTATGTGAGTCCCGCCCTTCCTTGCTGCTGAGCCGAAGAGGAACTACTGACAGGGTTGCTGAACCCCGGGAGAGGGCCAGAGCTGGAGACGACGATGTTGTCGCCGGTCGCAACACCGCCAATGATGGTAAGCCACATGATCTTGGGGATCTTGGAGGGGTTCGCCGTCCAAGCCCACAGATTGAGCGTGGACGCGTCCGTCTTCTGCGTCGTGGCGGTGTCGAAGTAGTGGGCAACGGCCGCACTACCGAGGATCTTCGCGACCACCTCCTCATTCCACGCATTGAGCGGGACGTTCTCCAGGCACAAGTGAACATGGTGCTTGAGCTGCACCGCGTCGGCGTGGGCGCGCGGAGACCAGTTGGACAGGCGGATGTCCAGCTCGCCCGACACGAAGTTGCCTGGGGCCGCGGTGACCGCGTCGCGATGATGCTGGTGGCGAAAGGTGATGAAAAAATCCTCCGGGTAGTGCGGGACGACGTCGAAGAGCTCCCTGCTGATGCGGAAGCGGACGGCAATGGCGTCGGCGATGACGACCGCGGAGACTTGAGGACGACGACCACCCAGCCACACCAGCGCCGCGCTGGACGACGGGAAAGCCGCCTGCTGCTCCAGCGCCGGAGTGGTGGCCATGAGCACCACGCCCTCCTCGGGCCGGGTCTCGGGGTCCCCCATGCGCGGCATGGCAGCTGCAGGCGAGGGTCGGGGGACGGCAGCTGCCGCCGGGGATGCGGAAGACCAAGTTGCCTGTGGGTAGCCGAATCGCAGAGGGCAGCTATCTGCCTTGTGCCCACTCCGGGAGCAGTAGTTGCAATTGAATGGGTCTCGGCAGTCGATAGCAATATGGCCTTTAGCACGGCAGCGATGGCAGCTTCTCGTCTCCCGTCTCGGCCTTGAATGCCTGCCTCTGCTCTGCCTTGAATGCGAACCAGGGGGAGCGCCGTGGCGACCAGCTGGCTAGTAGCTTCGCCTTGAATGCAAGCCGCGAGGGACGGATTTCCTCCACCAGTACGGCGCCTTGACCACCTCCCAGCGCACATTTAGTGCAGGATCCGGGGCAACAGTGGAGTGGATCCGCGGGGCAGACGAGGAAGCAGCCACTCCCCAGCAGACATTAAGGGAAGCCTCCCCATGCCGCAGGCCAGCCACAGGAGCAGACCGCGGGGCGGCGCGCACAGCGTCAGCGAAACACGGGAGACCGCGCCCATTAAGGCCGCGCGGCGCGGCGGTCGCATCGCCCAGAGCACCATCAAAGCGGAGAGCAGCAGCCGAACTGACCGGACGGGGCCCCGAGGAGACCGGACGGGGCCCCGAGGAGCCCGACGGCTCGAGCCTGCGGCCATTGACGGAGCTCTGGATCTGGATCTGGTAAGGTGGTGGAGGGGGCGTGGGGAAGCCCGGGGGGCGGATTGGGGTGGCCTGCGAGGGGGAGGAGGCAGCGGGGGGAGGCAGGCCCAGACCGGGATCCATGGGCGGGCGGGTGGCTGCGGCCGCCGGAGTGGCGGAGCGCAGGGAGGAGCTATAGCACGGTCGCCACCTCAACCAGTCTCCGACAAAGTTTTGTGTATTTCTTTTCTACCGAGAATGTTGGAAATGTAGAGGTGTACTCTCAGAGTACCAGACTGAAAGTCTACCGAGAATGTTGGAAATGTAGAGGTGTTACTCTCAGAGTACCAGACTGAAAGTCTACCGAGAATGTTGAAGAATCAGGCGCCTTATAAAATCACAATCCCTATAAGTAGCAGCAGCGCCACCAATAACAAACATCATCGGTATCCACAATGCAGCAGATAGGCGCCCTCATTCCTCTTGCCACCCACCAGTTCCCTCAACATCCATGCCGAGTATACACTACAGGTGGAGGAAGATCCAATTACTGCCAACTTGTGATGCCCGTTGGCCAAGCATATCTCCTCCAGCACCAGGTCAAGGCTGCTCCTAGAGCACCCACCCCCCTACAAACTGTGACTACTGTGAACACAAACCAGGATTCCACTATAAGGTTCTCTGAGACCATTCCTCTTCTGTTATTTCATTGTAACCATGATATTCTATTAGTATATCTGCTAATACTTGATATACTAGGAAGGATAAATATTTCGAAGTTGAGATGAAAGTTCATGACACGGAACTCGACAAATATGGTGTTGTCAACAATGCTATCTACAGTAGTTACATTCGAAATGGTTAGCCATGTCGATTTCAAGGAATACTGCGGATCATTCCAAATTCATATGATTTATATATTTATACATGCTATAACAGGTCATGACAAGCTATTGGAAAGCCTTGGAATCAGTGTAGACTCGATGGTATCCAAAGGCAGTGCACTCGCTCTTTCAGAAGTACATCTAAAGTACATTGCACCTTTAAGGGTACGTTTTGCTAAAGCACAGCATACGATAGAAACTCAAATAATGTTCCTTAAGGATTTAATAAATAGAAGGTTTATCAATTCAGATAGACATGCTGATCATGCGATAGAGACACCATAATTATAGTTTAACAACCACATGATTTTCCAAGTAAAATTCATGTACGTCAGCTATACCATATCATACAAGGGAAACTCAATAAGTTTATGTAGCATTGCCAGAGTGGTGATAGGTTTGTCGTCAAGGTGAAGCTCGGGCAAATCAAAGGTGTAAGACTGATCCTTGAGCACACAATTGAGACACTGCCAGATCATAAGGTATGCTCTACTATCAATCTTGTGCACATGCAAAGTGTTCCAGCATAAGGTACTCGAATCCATGGTCTGTTATCAACTATTCATATTTCTGAACATTGGCATGTATCTCTCACCTTTTATTCTCCTTTCAGCTCGTATTGGAAGACAAAGGAACACTTGTTTGCCTTGACAAAGACTATCATCCAACTCGCATATTCCCAGAGGTCTCAACAAAATTTCTGCAGTTCTTCTCATCCAAGGATGACTAAAGCTTTGAAAGGAATTGCTACTACTATTAATAAGACCTAATGTATGTGCTCTCCTGGAGCACAACATTGCAACTGATAAACAATATCGATCACCATATATCAATAAAAACAATTGTATTTTGCAGTGCTGCTTGAATGCTTGAGCTGATCTTAAAATGGTTTACATCTCCGTTAGCAAGTGTGACTTGGACACATGTAGTTTTATTTCTATTTCCAAGTGGTGGTAAGATTTACACAAATCGGGTGCAAACAATTGAGCAATAATTTGCAGAATGTGCGTAATGCATAACAGTTTACTTCCAAAGGACATCACAACAAAAATAACTCATTCACCTGGAGTGTGGCCGATGTTGCAATGCTGGCCTCCTTGAATCCACTACTACACTTTGGTCAATGTACAGAACTAAATTATGCTGGTACGGCGCAAAAAATTCTCTGCCGTGGTCTTGCCTTAACCCATCGCGTGCTTGAGCGAATCACCAGCACCAGCCTGGAAGAACAGGCACGAAAGAGCGAAGTCTGCAATGAAAATTCCAACCAAGGAAATGACCACTGCAGACGTTGTAGACTCGCCAACGCCCTTGGCTCCTCCGTGGGTTGTCACACCCCATGCACAGCTCACCACCGCGATAATGGCACCAAACACCTGAGATTTTATCAAGGCGCTGATCAAGTCCCATGGTCGCAGCGCCTTGCGTGCTGACTCCAGAATGATGCTGGTGCTTACACCAAAGACGGCGTCGGCCAAGAACGCCGAGGAGGCGAGCCCGAGGGCGAAGCTGATGAGGGTTAGGACAGGGAGCGCAAGCACGCAAGCAAGGACACGGGGCACCACGAGGTAATCGATGGGCTGTGAGCCGAGGACGCGGAGGGTGTCGGTCTGCTCGGACACCTGCATGGTGCCGAGCTCGGCGGCAAAGGCGGAGCCAACTCGGCCGGCAGCGACGACAGCGGTGACGACCGGGGTGAGCTCGCGGGCGAGCGCGAGGGCGAGGACGCCACCAACGGAGCGGTGGAGACCAAGGCGGGTGAACTCGCGCACGAACTGGATGGTGAAGGCCATGCCGACGAAGGCGGCGGTGAGGAGCGAGACCCCCGCGCTCCCGGGGCCCACGCGGCGGAGCTGCGCGAGGAGGTTGCGGCGGTGGACGCGTCCCGTGAGGACGCGGTGGAAGACCTGCCCTGCGAGGAGCAGCGCCGAAAGCCCCCGCCAGATCGCGCGCGGCGGGGTCCAGTTGGAGAACGGAGGAGGCGGGGGCGTGGGGGACGGGGTCGGAGGGGAAGGCGAAGGCGCTGAATTGCTTCCGGAGGGGGCGGGGGGCGTGAG